TCTCCAGCTGCTTCCCTGTCCGACTGCTTACTCCAGGAGCCGTGCAGGCACCATCAGTGCAGGAACAGCCTTTATTAAAGCAAAATAACCTACAAAAATATAGATACAGCCTGTGCCCCAGGCCTGATCTGGCGAAGGAGGAACAAGGCTCCTGCCCAGGGCAAGGACTAGCTTAGCCACACAGAGCCTTTGGCCTCAGGGGTCACATGCACCCAACTCTTTGGGACAGGCCCGTTCCAAGCCCCTGTGTTCGCTCTCATCCTCCTCCGAGCGAGCGTTGCTCCCACGGGCAGAGGTTCCCTACCAGCACAGCACGCAGCTGCCCCAGTCGAATCCTGGGCCAGGGCACATGATGGAGCAGAGGCTGTCCCCCGCCAAGGGTCTTCAGGGGCAGTGCTGCTCCCTGCAGAGCTGCTTCCGCTGAGGAGTGCAGCGTGTGTGCAGCCAGTGTGACGACTCCACTGTGGCTGGGCAGCGCTGAGGGGTGCTAAATGTGGGCACGGCAGAGACAAACCCTGCCGGCGTGCATGGAGGTGGCCGTGGGACCCTCCTGTCCCCTGGCAGGGCACTCACTGCTCCTGCGTGCCCCAGGAGATGTAGTCAGGACGCGTGGCTGCGTGGTACTCATCGATCAGCTGCTGCACAATCTCCCGGGAGTTGTCCAGCTCGTCGAAGTTGTCCTTGAAGATGTCCTCCTTGCGGAACTGCTCCAGGAAGGCCTCTCGCTTGCGCAGCTTGTCGTACTGCCGGCACGTCCGCTCAAACAGCTGGAGAGCAGCGCAGCAGTTAGACGGGACAGAGCTCCCTGGGGATCCCGTGGGGCAGGGTGGGGGCCTGACCTCCTCAGGCAGCTGCCTGGGAGGAGGCAGGCAGGGCCGTAGCTGCTACCCTCCTCCCAGCCAGCGCTCAGGATCAGCTCATGCTTCTGAGGCTGCCTTTGGCCAGGGAGAAAGGAGCCCTGCAGCAGCCTGCTCTTGGGAGAAGGGCACCAGGAGTGCAGCAGGACTGACGGGACCACAGACCAGACCTGAGCTCTGCTGTGCCCCAGCTGGGAGCTGCCCACCCTCCCCTCATCTGCAGGGCCTGCCATGGCTTTGTGAAAGCCCCAGTGAAGACACGTTTGTGACTGAAAGGACATCAGAGCTGCAGCTGTGGAGCCCCAGCACTGCCTGCGGCATAGAGGGAAGGCACTCACCGAGGAGATGTTGGTATGGTTTGCCATCATGAGGCCACTGACACGGTGTGCGGAAGGCAGGTAAGGGGACTTGCGGGACAAAGCCACCTGGATGCTGGCAGGACCCCAGGGGATGAAGTTGGCCAGTTTCCTCTCCCGGATCCGCTGCAGACTCTTGTGAACCTGGTGGGATGAGAGCAGCAAGGGACAGCAGGGCGATGGGCAAAGCAGCCTGGTCCCAGCAGACCCAGGAGCTCCTCCCTGCAGGATGTACGGCCTCAGGAAGGTGGATTTCAGCAAACGGCAGGCAGGGAGGCTCCTCACAGTAAGGGACTAGTGGCCTTTCCCTGAGGCCAGGGTCCACACAGGAACGACTCAGAGCTAGTTCTCAGGCACTGCTCAGTCTCGCCCCAGGAGCCCCACACAGGAAGATGGTGACCATGCCCTTCCCTGGCAGGCTATGGCATTGCCATCAGCATCTGAAACAGCTGTGGGAGCTTACCTGCGTAGGATCCACCTCCCCCTGGATGATGTTGAGGATGGCGATGTAGCAGTGGTTGGTCTGCCTGTCTCGCCCTGTTGACACCATCACATTTTTAGGCTGCAGCAATCTTCTCATCACATCCAGGACTGTGGTTTTCCTCACGCTGGCCACCTGCAAATGCCAGCCAGGGGTCAGAGGGAGCGGGTGTGCTGCTCCCTTACCCCCTCCCGCTGCCCTGCGCACACGCGCGCACACACACACACAGAGGAGCGGAGGGCAGCTGGACAGAGAAGCCCTTGCCCTGGGCAATGGAGTCACATGCAAAGCCACATGCAGGACAGGGAAATCCCAAAGTCACACAAGAGGCACAGCCAGGCTGAGAACCAGAGCATTGGCGGAGGCTCCAACACAAGCGTGCTGAGCTGCCCGCCCCCCAGCAGCACAGCAGGGGCTGGGGCCGAAGCTCAGCTGAGACCACAGTGACAGGGACGCATTTCATGTTGTTGTTGTAACTTCTGTCCAGTTCCAGTGCTCAGGCAAGGAGCTGGGCTGGAGGACAGGAGAGGGGTCACTCCCTGCTGCACCCCCTCTCCACCTCACCCTGCACTGAGCCCGTGGGCACACCACCCACTGCAGTCCCCAAGTGCTGTCACAAGCTTTGCCCAGCTGCTGCCTGCCAAGGGGGACCCAGCCAGGGCCGGCACCTGAAGGACTGCCCATAGCAAGGACAGCTCAGCAATGTGGCAGCCCCGCTCCAGGCACCGTCTGAGCTGCTGGCTGAGCCCTCCCCACACTCCTCTCTGGGAGGACAGATCACACACTCGATACCCTTTTCAGAGCCAGCAGTTTTTCAGATTTGCTTCTCTGAGTAACATCCTGAGGAAATGCACACAACGAGAGGAGAACAGCAGCTGTTGGCTCCCAGCAGAACTGAGATGCAGCCAACGCAGGTGAGTGCCTCTCAAAACAGAACTGACCCGGGGGGCTGAGGGGGCGCTGGCTGGGGATGAGCTAAACACAAGTGGTAGCGTTTGATGCAGCTGAGGGGTGGCAGTGCCCTCCCAGAGCACAGATCAAGCCCTGGGAAGGGGCTGATGCCTGGAGCCCATGATGAGTCTTGGAACGACGACGATCAACAGTGTTCTGACCCAAACAGCCTCGGCTAGTGGCCCACTGGGGTGGCAGGACTGGCAGGGCCACTTTGCTGGGCTCACTCCAGTCGTTTCTAAGGGTGGCTTTTGTCAGATCAGATACTGTCGGCTCCCCATAGCTGCCGCAGCATCCTGATGCACGCAGCAGGTAGCCCAGCACAAGCACAATTGCCTGCTCACGTCTGATTCATATCACACGCAGCTGTCATGTGGTGTGGACCCATAGGCCTGGGATTTGGAACACGCAATTACAGCTCACACCAAGACCGTGGGACTGATGGATGTCACAAGGTGAGCGTGGCAGCTCCTCCTGCCCTCAGGGAAGGGGAGGAGTGCCCGGCGGACTGCCTTACCGACTGGTCGGTGGTAAGCGGAGTGTACCCCGTCATAAGGAAGTGCAGCCGGGGGGTGGGGATCAGTGAGGCAATCAGCCCGATGAGGTCGTTGTTCATGTACCCAGGATACCTGAGCGTGGTGGTGCTGGCAGACATGATGGTGGAGACCTGGGGGAGAGGATGGTGTCAGCATCCGCATCACCACATGGTTGCAGAGCGTGTTCAAAACCTGCTTCACGCAGCCGTGCCAGGGGAAGCTGGCGTGCCGGTGGAGGCTGCCCCTGGGAAGGGCAGAGGGCCCCCATTCACCGCCCCAGGCTGCCCACCACTGCGCCCAGCCCATGGAGCAAGTTCAGACTGAATCGAACATAGCGGGGAAGCCCCATGCCAGCTTCTCCAGAAGGAAGACTGGTTGAGCTGAGAGAACGATGGGTTCTGAATGTGCAGCCGGTCTGTCGCGATCCGATTCAAGGCTGTGTTGTCCAGAACGACCTGCAAAAGAAAAACCGGCTCTGTGAAATGCCTCGGAGGCAGCCTGAGGAAGGGCAGTCCCGGCCATGTGTCCCAGGGCACCGGATTGCCCAGCACAGGCCCCGAGCGCTGCAGCCTGGCGGAGCCCTCCTCGGCAGGTGGCAGACACTTGAAACCACAAGCTGACTCATCTGTGGAGCGTAACTGACACTGTCAATGGAAGCTCTTCCCTCCCCTCTTGGCTGTGCTCCCCAGCGCCCTCCCAAAGAGCACTGCCTCTGGGCCAGCACCTCGCAGCAACCTTCAGCCCCAGCAGCTCTGGCGCAGCTGCTCTTGCCCTGCCACAGGCAGAGGTAAGTTGGGAGGGACAGGCAGACTTGGTTAGGACCCGACCCAAGGTGCTGGTGCAGGCTGAGGATGCTGCCTGTCTGGGTCTTGTGGGTGCTGAAAGCGATGCTGGAATCGAGTTCAAGCAGAAGGCTTCAGTGCAGCTATGCAGAGGAAGCACAGCCAGTCCTTGCTGCCATGGGAAGAATCTGCTGGACACAGGAGGCAGAAATGTCAAGCCAGACAGCTCATCAGGGGTTAGCGCAGAGCCCCTGTCCCTGGAGCCACCACATCTGCTCAGTCCTTCTGGATGGGGGAGCACCCGTTGCTGCACCTGGGGCCTTGCAGGCACGTCACACGCTGCTGCAGCACTTCCCCCCGCAAAGGCTGTGTCTTTGAGCGGCTGGGGACAGGGCTACCATGCCGGAGCTGGCTGCGCCACTGGCCTGACACGCAGCGGGACTCTTACCACACAGTCAGCATTCTGAGTCAGCCTCTTCAGTGTCAGCAGAGAGTTGTACGGCTGGACTACAACATCGCTCATCTCATCCTGGTTTGGGAAAACCGAGTAGGTCTCCACCAGCTTCTTGGGATACCTGGTGAGAAAGCCCAGCCACCTCAAGGGTTAACACCACCAAGCCAGCACTCTCTCCTCCCTCCCACAAGTTCCCTTTGCAGTCTCCAGGGCTCAGGACAGCAGTGAGTCACCAGCGCTGCATGCCAGAGTCGGCTCCCAGGGAGAGAGAATTTGTCCCAGCAGTGCCTACCCCAGCAGTACAGGAGCTGGCTGCCAGACAGAGCTACAGGGGAGGCTGAGCCATCCACAGGCTGATTAAGCAGCTGCTTACAAGCCTTTTCAAGAGGCTGCAAGCTGAAACAGGCAGGGACGGCACTTCAGAGCCCGCAGCTAGAGCCTCCCACCCTCCCCTGCGCAGTCAGGGTGTCACAAGGCATCTGCCTGATAAGAATGGCTGAGGAAAGGCAGAGTTTGGACAGTATGAGTCCAGTTTCAGAGCCTCTGAAGTCCCCAGGCATATCAGGAGCCATTCCTTTCCCGGGCAGTGTGCCAGGGATTGCACAAGGCAGTGTTTGGGTGCGGGGCGGTGGCTCTGAGTCAGCGCTCTCCAGCTCCCCGCTTTGGCAGGGTGCCCATGCTGGGCCAGACTGCGGTGAGGGAAGGGGACAAGGCTGAGCACTCACCTGTCATTCAGTCTCTCCAGGAGGTACGAGCCCAGGCCGGAGCCCGTTCCACCAGCAATGGAGTGGCAAAGCACAAACCCCTGGAAGGAAGCAGAACGCAGGCAGCTCAAGGTCCAGCTCAGCCCCAGGAGCAGCAGAGCAAAGCACGCTGTGCCACCGCTGCCACCTCCAGCAGAGACGTGCCGGCCAGGGCAAGAACTCCCCCTGTGACAAATGAGCACGGAGCTGCAGCCTGCGGATGGAGCTGAGGTTAGCCCTGGCTCCTCCAGACCACAGCAACAGCCACACGCACATCAGGCCACTCCTGCCAGTGTGGGTGGAATCCACGTCTCTGCACACACGACAAAGTGCAACTGCGGCTCAGCAGCCTCCTGGATTCCTCCCACCCCAGAACAGACTTCAGAATAGCTCCAATGTCACCTTCAGGATCCAGGTGGTCACACAAAATGGAGGTAGACGTTCTCAGCCCTTTCCCCAGGCCTGCCATGCCATTCCCCTCCTTCTAGACTGCCCAAGGCCAAAGTCCCTCTCCCTGACTTCAGGGCAGCTCCCACCTCCTGCAGGTCCCACAAGAGGCTCTTGGATCTTCTGCCAGCTTATTTTACGATGACATTTTCCCTTCCCCTGTTGCCATATGACAGTCTGACACAAACAGCAGGGAGCCCTGTCTGCCTATGCACAAGAAATGGGTTTACACGGATGGTGGCCGAGGTCCTGCCAGAGGTACAGAGCAAAGCAGCCAAGGAGCCATTGGTACCCCTGGTGCCCCTTTAACCCCTCTGGGGAGAAAATGAAACTGCAGCTACCTGTGCTCATTCTGTGGATTTCAAAGCACTCAGCAACTCTGGGTCTAAACACTTTCCTGCTGGCAGCCCATGGCTCCCTCTTCTTCTGCAGGCAGGGGGGCAGCAGGTGCCTTGTTCCAGCAGAGCCCTCCCTACCCAGGAGGGCCTTCACTGGAGGATGAGCAGCGTGTGTCCTGCTTCAGCTGACGCGGGGGAGAGCCATGGGCGGGAGGCGGTACAGGGAAAGGAAAAAGCGCCATAATGCCTGGAACTCTTCCTGCAGACTGTATCCTGCAGGAAATGCCCAATGCAGGCAGTATTTGGGGCAGAAAAATGCCCTGCTGAGCAAACATTAAGATTCCTGGGGAAGCCTGGCAGATACAGTAGTGATGGGAAAGACCTCCTTTCCCTAGTTCCCCTCTCTATGTGCTCTCTGCTTAGCACCTAGTAGCAAGTTGAGCAAGTCTGTGTACACCAGAGGGCTGAGCTTGACCTTATAAAAGAGCAGCCTGGCTCAGAAAACACCAAGCAGGGCAACCGGATCCAAATCCCCTGATTTACTTACTTCCAAACTGTCGCTCCCATCAGCCTCTCTGTCTATTATATCAAAAATATCTTCGTGGATTTTTTCTCCCTGCAAGAGAGACCAGACCAGATTTTGTTTCTTTCCCACAGAAAATGAGAAGAGCTCCTGAAGCCTGAAGTGAAGCCAAGTCAGACTGGCAATGTGACCCTGGGCCCAGGGTGCCAAAAAGAGTCAGGCGCAAGTCGCTGCCAAATGACGTATTCTTCAGGAACCACATACTGAGCCTGACATAAGAAAGCCATGATAAAGCCTGACACCCAATGAGCTGATCTGTGTTTGCACCCAGGAGCACTAGAGCTGTTACCTGTGAGAAGCCACTGGCCCAGTTGTTCCCAGCTCCCCCTCCGTGCTCAGACAGGTAGATGTTTTCTGGGTTGTAAAGGTTGGCATAAGGGGAGTTCAGGATGGAGTGAACATACTGAGCCTGACATAAGAAAGCCATGATAAAGCCTGACACCCAATGAGCAGATCTGTGTTTGCACCCAGGAGCACTAGAGCTGTTACCTGTGAGAAGCCACTGGCCCAGTTGTTCCCAGCTCCCCCTCCGTGCTCAGACAGGTAGATGTTTTCTGGGTTGTAAAGGTTGGCATAAGGGGAGTTCAGGATGGAGTGAATAACTCGGGGCTCCAGGTCCAGCAGCACGGCTCGCGGGATGTAGTGCTCATCGTCTGCCTTTAACAAGGAGCAGTAAGATCATGATGCAGCCGCAGCTCAGTGCCACTTCTTACCGCAAGAGGAACTGCAAGTGCGTGTCCCACCCCTGGCCGCGGGACAGCACGGCACAGCCGCCGTCTGACAGGGAAAAGGAGGAAGGGAAACTTGTTATGCACAGCCTGTCCGTAATGCAGCATCTTTACGCGCCCCAGAGCACATCCTGAACACCGGGCACTCGGAGGGCAGGCGGCTCTTCCCTGACGGGCCTACACTCACGGCGGTTAGGGAAGGAGGTATCTATGGCAGCCTCAGCTTCGTGTTTCTGCCTC